ACTTGCGTTATAAAATTTGAAACACAGAGCCAGCCCGGAACGCTTCGACCGAAATTGTCGGTTATTCGCGGCGAAGGAAGTTCCATCTTCCAGGAGCTTGACATATGCATGTCGCCTCGTTCGTAAACATCTCGAACTTCCATCTTCCGCGGTCGCCTCCTCGAACGCCCGTTCGTACGTCGGACCGAAATTTCCCTCGAAATCGATCCCGAAATTCGCGGAGTTCTTTCGACGGGAGCTCACTTTCGGCGCCGAAGAATCAATTTCGCTGTTCGGGCCGCTGCGTCGAACTGTCCGTGTAAAGGGCGTCATTTTTTATCGGGGCAATTTCACGGGGAAATCCCCGCGCCGCGAGCTTCCCGCGGAAACAGAGACGCGACACCGGAGCGCGCTTCCGAATTGGATTGACCCTATAACGGAAGATCCCTTTCGGTCCTCCGCGCTTTGTCCGCGTCAAATTCCCATTTCTCTTTCGCCCCGGCGAGAGGAGAAAGACAAGAGGCAATAAGTCGGACGACCCTAAGAACCGCGTGTCGTCGGCCATCGAGGCGACTCCGGGGCGGACCGCGCGGAAAACGTCGAAGCAGCGTTCCGAAGTATTGCGATTCCGGTCACAAGTTGACATCCTGCGGTACACGGGCCCGGATCAAGCCGAAACGGAGGGACGTGCAAGTTCTGCGAGAAGTCGCCGCTCGTGTTTCGTGACCTGCCTCGCACACCGATTTTCGCCACCGCTTTTTTGTCTCCTCCGGGTCGGGCGGAAGCGCTGTGTCGTAGACACGGGATACCTCGATGATCAATTTGCGACAGTTCGTTAACCTTTAGCTACTGCGGGATTTTCAACAATGTACCTCTCTACGGCTTCAACGCGGACCGCGCGAGACTGTACATCACGCTTTTCATTATGACGTTAGAAATGTTCGGAAATGTTTACGCGAGACAAATGTGAAGTGACAGAAATGAGGGCAATCGGCGATATGTTAAATATATCTATAGTACAGTAGCTGAAAGATTAACCTGCGTCTCTTTCGATATTTCTACAGTTACGTCATATTAGACAGGATTGAAAAGTTAAGATATAAATATACCAGTGACGTCGATTGCGAAAATGTGAAAGCGGAAAGAGTTCAACTGAATGTAATATGAAACCGCGAAAATAAATGATCCTTCGGGCCTTCAATTCATTCAACACTTTCGAAAAATAGTGTTACTGTAAAAATTGCTATTGAAGTAACGTTGAACGTGTTGATTTTCTGTGTGTAACATGCAAAATGTAGACCGTACGAAACTGTGAAATTAAAAGGGCGCGACCGTTGGCTGCAAAAGTGATTAGAAAAATCGTGGGAAAGAAGAGGAACAAATGGGCCTGATTTTCCCGGGGAAAAGACTGAAGATTGTCGCTAGCCGAGGTCTGGTGCCGACTGTACGCCGACCGTGTCGGCGTCACGGGATTGATTCTGCTTCTTCTAGTTCTTCTTCCTCCATTCGGAGGAAAAGTTCCGGCTAACGGTGCCAGCTTCCCTTCGGGAGTTTTATTACGACGGAGACACGTTTATCCCGGCCACAGATTCGCGCCAACATGTCCTCGGCTGTCGATAAGTCTGCGCCGGTACGAGAAAAGAGGAGGACGGCGCGAGAAAAGCGAGTCGAGATAGCTGGAGAACGCTGCGCGGACATTTTCCAAGGCCGCTTCGCATCGGACGGTCAACGTCATTCCTCACCACGCAACAGCGTGGCGAATGATCGCGCGTCGCGTCAATTAGAATTAACCCTTTGCACTCGGAAGTATTTCGTTAGGAATACTTTTCTAACTAGACGAAGACGATGGTTTTTTTTAATGAATTCGAAGAGAAATCACAGGTAAATTGAGGAACATAGCTCTTTTATCCGAATATTTCATACACAGATGCATTATAGATAGTTCAATATTAAATATTAAATTTTCTAATTTTACTGCGTGAAATCAAATGACTGAGAGTCACCTCTCGAGTGCAAAGGTCACCGATGACCGGAGCTTTCAAATTACAAGAGAATAATTAGCACTTGGAAGATCATTGATTTCGAGTGGAAATTTTCTGTAACGGTGAAACTTTCAGCAGATAAAGCTGAATTATATATCAAAGAAGATATTTTTTAACATTAACTCAACGAGAAATCACAAGTACATTGCGAAGCAAAGCTATTTTACCAATATTTCACACGCCAATGCGCTGTATACAGTTCAATATTAACTATTAACTTTTATAGTTTCACCGCATCGAATCGAATGGTGACTGAGAATCACCTCTCGAGTGATCGGGCATATCGGAGTCGGAATCAAGCAGCAAAGCGAAAAGTTCGAGCTCGCCGCGATCGCGCGGTGCCTTGTTCGCAGGGAACCGTCGCCTCTCGTGGACCAACAATCGCACGGTTTAGGTAAAACAGCGAGAATCGACTTTCAGTGGCTGACTGTGCGTCGACGGCGGATAGACGCGCGAGACTCGCGGGCGGGCGAGCGAGCGAGGCGGCACGAAATTCGTGCGCGCCTATAGAAACGTCGACGTCGAAACGAAGAAGAAAACATCGGGTACTTTAGGTGGCGAGGTAAACACAAAGAGGACGCAACCCCAAAAAAGGAGAGAATACCTCTCGTGCCAGAGATGGAGATGCCAGGCAGCCGAGAGCTGCTTAGCCTGGAATTCCGTTGATGGATGGAATTCACTTCGTGCCGGCGAGTAAGTATAATAGAAGTGAAGTTGGGCCTCGCGGTGCCTACTGTTGCTGAATAGAGGCTTCGTTAGGCTTTGTCTAAGCGGAGTGCTGCAGCTTTACCCCTGCCATCCGCAATTCCCACCGCCACGCAACCCTCACCCTTATCCTTCCAGTTTCTACCTACTTGAATTATTCTCCGCCGCGTCTCTACGAGAACGGACCGCCCCCGACCACGCTTCGTGCCTTTAACACTAGGCACCCGGACACTTATTCTACAATTTATTCCGTGGCTCCTAGAAAAATTCATGTTCTTTCATTCGAATCTTGGCAATTCGAGGATAAGCGGTTGAGGTGCGTATTTTGGTAATTCTGCGGATTACTTCTCTTTTTAACACTGGGTTTACGGGCATTTATTGTACACTTCGTTCTATTATTCCTGAAAGTATCGATGCTCGTTTATTTAGATTGAAACTGGAGATTCGATGGTAGGTGATTGGGGTACATGTCAGTGTGATCCTAGATCCTAGTGTAAACCTAGTGTTAATTATGTTTTCCTGTTTGGAAATAGAACGGAACGATCGCGTTTAACGTTTCTTTACGCGGAGAATTCGTTTCTGAACTGACACGAAAGAAACGATTGCGCCGTTTCTCAGATCGTTACGTCTCGTCGATGAAAACGGAAGCAACGCTACTCAGCGAGAAAGTACGGCACGCGACGCGAGACCCGCGGGGACCGAGAGATTAAAACGTCATTGTTTCCTCGCACGAAGATTCGACTGGGACTAATAAGTCGACGGTTATGACCCAACGACACTTCCGCCGTCTGATAAGTTCTCGGTAAGTACCGGAAGCCCGGGGTTCAAAGTGCGACGGTGATGTATTCGAGTTCGGTTACGCCGAGACAGTTGTTCGGGATAGTTTCCCGGCGATGTTACAACTGAGGAGAGCAAGGAACCCTTCCTGATAGTTCCTACCACCTTAATGCAGTTCCCGGTGCAGTAACGATGCGCCGGCTACGCTCCGCATCAATAAAACTCCTATCTTCGCTCGCGTCCTCTTCCAAAGCCTATATTTATCTATATCGACCGTATTGCTTCCGTTTCCGGAATAACACGGTATCTCCGTCTCGTCTTCCTATTCGAATTTTTCTACGAAGTTCCTTATGAAATAACGCTTTGAACTGTAACTGGCGAAGTTACCAATGAGACGCTGTAATTACAAGTCGGAACTTATTAAGCTTCACGTTCTTCTTTGATTTAAGTGTGACTTCTCTGAAACTTGGTTTCAAAAAATATCGTCTACATCTCATCAGCTATATATTTCCTGCGAGAGACTTTCGAGTGCAAAGGGTTGGTACAGGATCAACATAATAGCTGTCTCACGTCGCATCGAAGGTTACGACGGAGGAACCACTTAAAGGATACAGGTCAAACACGCTGTTAAAACTTACAGGAAGTAGCCACGTCAACCTCCGACGCTGAGCTCGACAGATGTCCCGGAAGTTTATATCGAAGTGACCTGATTCGCTGTACCCCATTAATCGAGGTCAAGGTGTTTTGATCCGACAGACGGTCGGAAGCGGCCGCCATTTTGTTTGGAAGTCGTTCGTAACCGAATGCGCACACCGATTGCTCGGTTTTCATCTTTTCTCGCCTCAGGTTCGATATTACTTGTGCCGTCTCGCTAGACATCGAGTTTAGTTGCGAGACCAACCAAGTCTGAGGATCGCATTGCGAGACTCTAACGTATTGTTACACGTTTCAGTCGATTTTTAAGGAAGGAGGATTACAGTGATAATGCAGTATAATGCACCGTACACTCGACTTAACGCCTCCACGTCGTGAACGGTCAAAGTTGTTCCATAGGAAACTTATCCCAACGCTTCGCCATCATTGCAGCTTCATCGAGAAGTTAAACGCGCACCGATAAACTATCATCTACCGCGAGCTAAATAATTAGCGCGTCTTTGAGCCCCCAGCGAAGCCAGCTACCGCAATAATGGCGACACGATGGGGTTTTCCAATAATTCACAGGCTCCGCTCGGAAGCCCCGGACAACTTTGAGAAAGAACTATTTCGAACGCATAATTTCTGAATAATACACGCGCTAAACGGTCTGTCTTGGTTATTTAATCGCAAATTCCTGTTTGTTTTTCCCCGGAACACCCTGTGGGCGCGATCCGGGAGGCAAAGGCAGTGGAATGTTGGCCGGCCGGGGAAAGGATGGTGCAAGTTCGCGTCTGCGTCCTAGCCGCGGCGCTTAAGTACACACGCGAAGCTCACGAGACACGACGGTTCCATGCATACAGCGTTCCGCGTATATTTGGACGGTGCACGGGATTTTAGTATGCGGAACAGGCCACCTTTAATGCTGAAATATCGCTGCGAACAACGCGGCGTCGTCTCCTCGTCTTTCCAGCTGGCGAAATTTCATACCCGCTCGCCGTACACCGGTACACGCTCGGCGTTTCACCCGAAATCTGCGACCCTTCGACCGCGACGACTCGGAATGTTACGTATCGATGGAACAAACCTGTCGCGCGTAATCTTCGCCGGGCAACTTTTATCGCGGCGAACAGGGCCCGTGCGAATCTCGCATTCCCCGGCGCATCCCACGTACATCCCGATGCAAAGAATAATGTAAACAGTTGTTAACAGACTGCGGATCTCGTTGCGTTCCCGAGAGGAAGCGTAAAATCGCGCAGAATGATCGTGGATGTATGAAGTAGCTAAAGTATAGTGCTCATAATATTTGTCGAGACGGTTTTCCTTGGTAATTTATTGTTCTGATTTTGCTCTTGAAACCTTGAATTTGCATAAACGATGTGTTTCATCAGTGATGATCCGAGCTCCGTGAAAAATTGTCCGCGCAGCGGGTTAAAGGAATCCATTTCTGTCCGGTTGCCCGCGTTTCTCCTCTTAATCCCCTTTAGGCGGCGACCGGCTTGTTTTTCCAAGCATCCGCTACCAGATGCTTCGCCGAACTTGCCCGTTTCTCGTTTCCGGTATTGTTTTGTCCCCTGGCAACATGCGCCGCCGATTTACGCCTCGGCGAACACGAGCGTATCGAGGTTCCCGTCGAAACAACTTTATCCCTGCCACTTCTGTACCGTACCCGGACTTCTTGACCGATTTTCGCGCGAGCGACGAGCGTGCAGACGCGGAGCGAACGGCTGAAAGGACGCGGGGATCGGAAGCGACCGAACGTTGAACGGTTAACGTAACGCTCGCAACGGGGCCGAGTAATTACGGCGGATAATCGATGGCGACGCGTTCCGCGGGGCAGCATTTAGACAACTTTTTCTCCCCCCGGCGAGGGAGGAATCTTCGGGACAAAGTCCATCAAAGGGGCCGTGTAACTCGAAACAGCGATAAACAACGAGCCGAAGTTCCGTCGATTCCCCGGAATTTTCATTAAGCGGCAAATCGTTCCTCTCCGTTTCCGCTCGCTAAAACCTCGGCGGCAGCAGCTTTCGCTTTCTTACTCTTTTTTCTCCCTTTCATTAACGGCACGTCGAGCTACTTTGCAATTTCCTTGGGCGGACAATAAGCACGGCCGTGGAGGAGGACGGCGAAACAAGAACTCGGCGCGGGAGGAGAGCCGCTGCTGCCGCCTTTCATAAAATCCAATTTAAGAACTGCTCCTGATCCCCGCCTGTCCGTCCTTACTCCACGGTAATAAAGAACCACCGAGACCTCTTCTTTATACACTTGCAAGTAAACTGCCTTTAATAGGACGGTTATTGCTTTGTGTACCGACGGACGCGGCTCGACGTTGCGCGGAAGCTCGCGATACGCATCGCCGGGGAACCCGATCGGATCACGCGACGACGCCGGATCGGGGGAGCCTCGAAAAACTTCTGGTAACGCTCTCGCGGTGCTTCCGATAAATTTCCCTCGCCACCCCGGTCCGTGCTCGCGCGCTACACGCTACACGCTACACGCGTACCGCAGTTGGAACTGAATTAGTGCTCGGGCACAATGCCAAACGCGTATCTAGATGCGCGCCGCCGCCGCGCTATCGTCTCTCGCAATTTACCGAAAACAATAAGCACACTCGCAACGTTAAATGATATACGCGCGTTCGCGCGAGAAACATCCTAGACGAGGATTCCTAGGCGCCGTTCGCCGTCCCCGGATCGGCGCCTAGCAACGGGGATCACGTGTCTCCGTAACGGTTAATTGCACTAATTTTATTTCACCAGGCGCGAAACGTACAGATCGATTAATTGTATCCGCGCTTTATCAATATTGGTCTGAGGAAAACAACTTGTTTACCTGGAATGGCAGGGCTCTACGTCGTTTATAGCATTCCGATAATCGATCCACAACGACGGCTGCTTCAAGCACACCGCTCCCCCGCCCCGGGAATACTGCGTGTCCTGAAAAGAGGAGTAACCGAGCATCTTGAAACGCGTGTCCCGTGCGTTACGTTTCGTCGTTCGCAAGACGGAAACGAGGCTAAAACGCGGCGGTAGGCATATTTACAGCTCTGTTGATGTCGGCGACGCAGACCCAGTGCGTGGTCGTTCTGTTGGTCACGGTTATGGCCCACTTGGAGTGATCGCGGCTGCTCGTGAAATCGATGTTCGCCGCGTCGAATATCAAGGATTTCACGTTGTAGATCCTGGAAATCAGCGGTGCCGGTGAAACAAATGGGAACGGTGGAGAGGGGAACGCTCGGGAGCTAAAAAGCATCGGTTTTACTTTCTACGGCTGCAGGTGGAAGGCAGCTTGCCGCGGCCGTTCAGCCAGGACTGCACGTACAGGTCGGTTTGCAGTTGCGGCGCGACGAAGTCAGCATACAGATCTGAAAAAAGCACCGCCGCTAATGCAACCGATGGCTCCTCCGGATGGTAGCCGGATTACCTTTCTGCCATTTGCTCCCTTTCGCGAACGAAGTGAAATTGGTGGACCCTAGGGATCTCAGGACGGCTTTACGGTTGTACGGGGGCGACTTGACGCGCTTCTGATTGATCGCGTTCGTCAGCATCGGGTACCGTGCGCCGAGCGACTCCGGGATGTTCTTCGCGTACACCGTTATCTCGTTGTACATCAGCTGCTCGCCGAGAACGTTGAACTGATCGCTGCCCAGCGAGATGCACAGAAAGCTCTGCCCGTAGAATGTCCCACTTTCCGGGTAATTGTATTTACCTTGAATCGTTACGTTCACTCTCTTCGAGGGACGCGTCACCTCGCCGCCCTCCGGGACTGCTGGGAAATTCGGGACGCTGTGGATCAACCAGAAACCTTGCTCGCTGTTCACCATCACCACGCCCTTCGTGTGGCCATACTTGAAGACGGCCGGCGTGTCCGGCGGACTGTCGTTGTATAAGGTCCACATGCTTTTGTCTTCATTTTTCTGCGGGATAAACGTAATCCATGTTCGGACAATTTTGCTTTGCTTTTACTGGGAAGGAAACTTTACCTTAACTTTAGACAACAAAAACACGCTGCCGTGTGACCCGGTGTTAACCCGCTATGTTAAAAATGTATTCAATAGTTTTAATAGTTTTATTAAAACGAATATATTTTGTAACTTTGAAGTTACAATGACGTTGAACGTAAACGCCTGCGTGTATAAAAGTTTAAGTTGATTAATCATTTAATGTCATTCGTCATTTTGCAATAAAGATTAAATAAATCAATTTCACCCAGTCTATTGATATGTGACTTCAAAGTTACACGGGCTTATAGAGGGTTAAAGTGGTAACCCTTTGCACCTAAGTCGCCATTCGATTGAACTGAATTATAAAATGAAAAATTCAAGATAAAATACTGGATAAAGTATTAACACAAAACAATTCTGCCCCGTAATTTATGCAAGATATTCCTTTATGTAAGTTGCAAATAATGTTGATATCTCGTCAGACAATAATGAACGTCTGTAATGAAAAATATTGTCGAGTTAACGTCAGCCTCTCGAATGATGGGATTCGTGACAGATTTCTTGAGAATCAAAAGGCTCACTGTTGAACGTCGAGGCGCTTAGACAATTAGCGGTAATTAATGGCACTCGATCTTACTTGGTCGTAGAGAGGCGCTAACGTTATTCCAGGGATAGAATTGTTCGCAGCAATGGACCTTGTGGACAAATGCCAACCGGTCCCAATGGTTGCATTCGTTGCGTACAGATACGCGTAGCCATCTCTGATCAAGGGATTGCTGCTCGTCGAGGTTTTCGGTAATTTATACAGCACGTACCTGAAACGATTATCACCGAGGAATTTTCTGCCCGGCGGCTGCTCATTTATCGAATCCATTAAAAAGTCGTTAGCTCGTTTTCCATAAGAGACGCCGATACTTCGTGAACGGATGAAAAACGACCTAACCGTTTGCTGACGAATGTCGACATTTTCGAAATGTTCGTATTTGGAAAACTAGCGAATGACTTAATTACTTGAGTATCGAGAGATCGACACTCAGTTTCCTATTCTATTGTTCGAGTAATCGATATACCAGGTTGTCCCAAAAGTATCTTTAACCCCTTTAATTTTAAAACATTTTATTATCAACTATTTGGAAGAAACGCACCAAAATTGTCCGTTCTACATGGAAATTTCATTTGAAGATAATAAATTGATAATAGCAAAATAGTTTTGATCCGTGAGTATGAACATTGATTGTCGTTAAATTGGTTTAGAAATCTTCGTCACGAGTCTCACTCGTCATTGTATGACAAGGGGCTAATTTGGTTGATATAATCAATGCACATTTTATATCTGATTACGTAACATCGATCTTATCTTCCTTCCTTTCTCGAAAAACCTCAGTGTCATAATTCCAGCATTCCTTACGACCGAAAGATTACAATTAACTTGAACGAAGATTAGAGGGCAGCTTAATATAATTTAGCTTCGTCTGTTGATGGTTTTGTATCTCAGAGAATCCTCGTTCGCGAAGGGTTAAACAGCCGATGAAAGAACAGCGTGTTCGATGATCTCAAGAACAATAGATGCAAACACTCACCAGTCAACCGGTGCGTTATTCTCGTCTTTGCATTGCAACCGATTTTGGACATTGCCGTTTACAGCGTTACACACGAGCAGCCAAGCGATCGTGTGGCGTAGGACACGCGACGTGGTCGACTAAAATAATGGAAGAATTCTTATTCTTTGTGTCGCCGCTTCCTGAAAGTCCTCGACTTTCGATGACAAAGACTGCGAGGCGTCATTCGCGAGTATTCTTGATTATGAGTAACATTTAACACGCTGAGGTCGAGATTCGATCTTTCTGCGTAACGAATGCTTCGAGTTCTACGCACTAGTGAATTTCAACAATCGATTAAATAGATCGCAATGACCGGTCGAATGAAATATAAGAAACATGAGAATTCATTTACCCCATCGCTCGTTTGGAAATGAAATAAAAATGTTCCGCTACCGAATGGAAAGCTTGATTGTGAATAGTTTGAAATAATTGTTTATGTTAAGGGCAACGAATAACTGCTACTGAAAATGATTGGGAATTATCGAGTTTCTTTGTAAATTGAAGCCTGTACACGTACCAACATTTTTCACAAATAAATCACGACACGGTTCAACAGCTGTTCGAGGAACGATACTACTGTCATTACAGTCTGCACTCCGCAGAGAGACTGAACTGACTGTTCAATGTAAATACCAAGGTCCGCAAACGAAGCATCGCTCACGTCATTCTACTTTATTCATCCCATTGGCTGACCGCTGTATGAGTTCCTTGTTTCACATCACGTTTCTTATAACTATTAAATATAATTGAACACTTAAACATTTCTCATCTATTCTATTTTATAGTACAATTTATGCGACAAGTTGATTAAATTGATTTTACTAATTGGTATCATCGAATTAGTCACTGTTTCATTCGAAAAGGATCCCATTTTCGAAATGTTAAATATAATTTGCTTCCAAAGGAACATGCGGTTCCATCTATGACTAAACGTGGGAAACGAATGGTGGCAACGTAATATATGTGATATGATCGACTGCATTGAAGCAATAATATGGCGGCCGCAAGCTACAGTGGGCCGAACGTCATAATATTACAATGAGAAAACAAGACATATCGCGTAAAGGAGTATTCACGTATTAAAATCGTAGCTAAACGAAATGCTTTCTTAGCGATGACACTGCCAACAGAGCATTTTAGACGGCACGACAAATTCCGTTGAAATATCTCTAGAAACCGACAGGGAACGGAATAATGAGTTCTTCTATTGCAGAACTTATAACAGAATATTTCTAACGCTGACAGAAGATCGAAGAAACGAATTGATTCTCCGGCGAATGGAGGTATGCATTAAGAAATATTATTTGCCTATATCGCGAGAATACAACAGTATCTCGTATCATAATATATTTTTGATCATGCTATCATCTATAAATTGTTCCATAGTTTTCTCCCACTATTTTCAACTTATCAATGCACTTTTTTTATTTCCAAATAGACAACTTGAAACGTTGAGTAATGTTTTTACATTTTTGTAGTTTTTTCAATGTGAAAAATCACATCTGTAAAGTCTCTGTGGCCAAATGCATTACAAGTTGAAGAAACTTTTAAGCTAAACTTTTAACATTTTCATTGTTGAAAATAAGTAAAGATGAGTAGAATCGAAAGCAGTTCGGATAATGGGAATGGCTGGCATGAATGTGCCAAATGGCTGACTAGATGCGGAGCTTTGAGAGCGGATCATAAAGCAAACTGGCCAGAAGCAACTGCAGTTGATTTAGCCTATACTTTGAGAGATGGTGTATTGCTATGTAATCTCTTGAGTACCGTGTATCCTGAATCCATAGAGATGAAAGATGTCAATCAGAAACCACAGCTGGCACAATTCTTATGTTTAAGGAACATAAAACTATTTTTGGCAGCATGCTCAGCATTTTATGGCCTATCGAATTCCGACCTGTTTGAGCCTTCCATGTTGTTTGATCTATCAAATTTTCATCGTGTATTATGCACATTATCTGTGTTATCTAATTGTCCACGGCTAAGGCAGAAAAATATTCCGTAAGCAAATTATAATATGCAAGTTGTTAGCTGTAAATTATACTAATTTAATAATTGTTGTTAGCTGTTAACTGTAAATTATACTAATTTAATATGTGATATATTTTTTATATAGCGGCTTTTTCATTGGTCACGGTAGATCGCAAGAAGACATATATAAGGACTTACAAAGTGCCGGTGCTGGGTAAGCATCTATGTTTTTAAAGAGTACTGTATACTCTATAAATATTGCCGTTTAAAATAAATTACTGTAAACACATGGCAAAGAAATTTATACATTATAACATACAACACCGTATCTTTCTATTTGTTGCATAATATAATTTTTCAATAACTTCTGTCAATGGGTTCAGCCCCACAACAGGAGTGGTAGCATTTACCATAAAGCCTAAGAGTATGGATCTAGATGAATCCCAAGTATATCAGGAATTACTTTGCTTCTCGAGTAATTCTCAACACGACTGGCCTTCCACAAAGAAGGTATCTGTCGTTTGTTATTTAAAAGATTAAAGTGTCGTACAACAAAAGTACCAAACATCACTGTAATTTATCATTCAAAATAGTCATTGAATACGTATAAACCGTTTGTTTGTTTCTAAGTTAACTATAAATTAGTACAGTGATACTGGCACTGTTTAAAATCATGTTTACTTCACAGTTTTATGTGTTCAGCTATGTTTTTTATTCATAACGAAATGTATCTTTGCTAAAAGTAGTTTTGCGTTTGCCGGAAGTTTTATTTTTTTCGTGCATGAATAGTGCATGGCTGTTCATATTTTTATGCTAAAGCCGCGTAGGTGAAGGTCGCCGCAGAAGGTTTAGAAGACGCGAAGGAGATGAAGCAGGTGGAGGAGGGGACAATGAAGATCCAGTTGGAGAGGAGGATGATTATGGAGCATATTGCAGTCATGCTCAAAGCGAAGAGATCTACCAGGACCTTTGTAGTCTGCACTTGCCACCTCCTCCATCTGTTGCGCAGGTCGTTATAGTTTTTTCTTTTTTTTTCCTTTCTCCATATATATATATACATAACCATATATATATGGTTTATCCCAGTAACATTATAAAGTTGTAAATTATTAATGTTAATCATTGGTCTTGTCATGCTTCATAGTACTCTGCATTCCACCTCTTGTATATTACGAACAAATTTTTAAATGCATTTTCCTGATAATATAGGATGGCATAATTCCTGGAGGTGGGAAAAGCGATTACGTGATTCAAGAACTCGTTGAAACTGAACGGAACTACTCGGACGTCCTTAATAGTTTGCTCAGGCATTTTGCTAGACCACTTTCATCCACGCTACGACCGGAAGATTCGGCACGGATATTTTTTGGCATTAAAGAACTCGCAGAAATCCATGCTGGTTTTCACAGTCAGCTTCGGAAGGCAAGAGCTGGCGTTACTTTAGCACAGGTTTTCCTTGATTGGCGAGAAAAGTTCCTTATATACGGTGATTATTGCGCAAATCTTACACTTGCACAAAACACATTACAAGAAGTTTGTGCCCATAATGAGTTAGTTAATCAAGAAGTTATTGTAAGTATGTTAACACTTTCGTTTAGTCTGTCATGACTATGGAATAAATTTGATAAAAATACTGATTACAGAGATGCCAACAAGAAGCTAATAATGGTAAATTCAAGCTGCGGGATATACTCTCCGTTCCTATGCAAAGAATTTTGAAATATCATTTATTATTAGATAAATTAGTAGAAGAAACTCCTTGCGAATGGGTAAAAGATCGACAATATCTCGGAGAAGCTAGAGAAGTTATGGTGGATATAGCTCAATATATTAATGAAGTGAAACGTGACTCGGACACGTTAGACATTATAAAAGATGTCCAGGCATCGATAATTGATTGGGATGTCCCGGAGGACGCACAATTAAAAGATTTTGGCCGATTGTTAAGAGATGGAGAACTTAAGGTATTATACTATCAAGGGCATATGAAGAAATATATACTAACACAACATCTTATCGACCTTTCAGGTGAAAGCTCACGGTGACCAACGAACAAGGGTTCGTTACGCATTTGTCTTCGAACAAGTAGTATTAATTTGTAAAGCGGGTAGAGGAGAACAATATTTATACCGTGAAACTTTACGGCTAGATGAATATAGATTGGAAGACCCTACAGGAAGACGAACCCTTGGCAAAGATATCCGATGGACTTATCAATGGATGCTTGTCCATAAACAAGAATACACAGCGTACACTTTGTACGCCAAAACAGAAGAACAGAAAAAGATGTGGATTAAAGCGTTAGAGGATGCAATGGATAATGTTAATCCTGCAGCGTGCCGTAACACTAACCACAAGTTTAAACTTACAACTTTCGAGGGCGCTCTTAGTTGTCAGTATTGCAAGAAGTTCTTGAAAGGCCGTATATTTCAGGTAAAACATCCTCGATACAGACATCGACCGAATAATGTAACAAATTCATTATAATATGATTCACTCGTATAGGGGTATCGGTGTGAAGTTTGCCGCTTCGCTGTACACAAACAATGTATTGCACACTCGGGTCGATGTATGCCGGTACCGCCGCCACCTCCGCCACCGCCGCCTTTGCCCTGCGAACGTGCTCTTTCAATGAGATTATGGTTCGTAGGAGAAATGGGACGGGACACAGCTTCGAATAAATTGGAACAACGCAAAGACGGCACATACATGTTGCGAGTACGGCCTGCCGGACAATCACGGCAAAAGCATGAAACTAATTACGCTCTTAGTATCAAGTAAGATACCCATAAGCCGGTTCTCATTTTTACTGAAAAATTGACAATTTTGTAAGAGTTAATTAAAGGAAATGTACGTTAATGTTATAGGGCAGATGGAGCGGTGAAACATATAAGGGTATTTAAACGCAACGTTGACGGAGCTGATCTGTATTATCTCAGTGAATCTCGGTTTTTTAAAAGTGTAGTCGAGCTTGTCGAATATTACGAACGGGTATCATTATCGGAGAATTTTGAGAGATTAGATCAACGCTTGTTATGGCCGTACAGGCGTGTATTGGCAACGGCACTATTCGATTTTCATGCAGAGGAACGTAATCAATTGAGCCTACAGCGAGGTTGTACAGTCGTAGTATTGAGTAAAGAAGGCGATGCCAAAGGATGGTGGAAAGGGAAAATAGACGATCACGTAGGATTTTTTCCAAAGGATTATGTCGAAGAACAATAAGCATAAATTATATTGCTTAGGTACTTTTTCGATGTGATGGCACGGACGATTAAGGATAATATTTCACATATTAATCGCATCATCGTGCAATCATAATACTTTTATTAAAATGCCCCTCAGCAGAGAACAAAAGAAATGTAACACATTTTTACATTGTATAAAATAGAAGTAAATTCACTCACGCATCGATATCATTATAAAAAATACAGTTTTATTTTGTTGTTCTCTTGACTCGAGGTTGTGCTGTATCACAGTTATATAAATAGAAAGTACACGTGCGTGTATGAGAATCGAGCGTATAAAAACAAATATATTTAGCGACTTGTATAAACAAGAAGAATTCATTATTTTTCAGTACGATATGGCGATATCAAAAAATTTTAGAAAAAGATGATTCATAAAGATCAAAGTTGTCTATCTTTGTATATTAGAATCATACGAAAATATTATATTATCAAATGTTCATAATTTTAGACAACTTTCTCTTTATGACTATATTTTAAAGTCAATTGCCAAGCCTCAATTGTATATAGTGTAATTCTTTATTGTTAGCAATGCAAATTTTAACCATTTCTTAGATATATACAATATAAATACACGACTATCGCTACACGCATTATAGTAACAAATTAATTGTACTATTTTTTTAACTGTTACACGTATTTTCTGATTGTGCCAATGAAAATAATCAATAAAATTTAGTCCTTATTCAGATGTTAATCTAAAACAAATACTGCTTGTGTACTCCTATAATTCACTTTTTATAGTTTTTTTCCTCTCATTATATATAATAGTAGCCACTTTTTGCTCTAATCTTTTACAACCAGCTGTTGCATAAAGATTATGAGGAGGAGGTCCAAAAATTGTATAAGATAATGCTGCCTGTATCATATCCTCACTTGGTGAAACGTTTCTAACTGTGAAAGCTTTGACTAAGCATTGTTTTATATGTGTTTCTTCTAGTGGCAAAAAAGGAACATAATGGTCTATGAGGTTAGTGTCAATTGTGTCACTGTGATGAAGACCACCTTTTTCATTAAATGCCCCAACACTTATTAAATTCTCAAAATCATGAAGCTTAGCCTTGCTTCTATGTCTTCCTTCTTCCCAAAGATTTAATAAACGTTGTATAATTCTTGAACTGCCAGTGTTGGATAAAAATATATAAACTGCTTTCTTAGTATTCAACAAAGAACCAGATAATCTCCACAATTTAAACTGTGCATTATAATCCAAGAATGGTACAAGAACATTTAATAGACCTTCTGGCATCTTATCCACTTCATCAAATACGAATAATGACCTCTCACATTTTGTTAAGCTATCTATAATAGTTTTGCGTAATTCTGCCTATATTGTATCAAACAGCATAGTATAAAAATCATTTCATACGTAAGTTTAAAAAAACGAAATATTACATGCATGCATTCTTTAATTTCAGTTTAATTCCAGTCCTATAATTAAAGATATACCTTATAGAGTTCTACATCTTGTTGCAAAGGAAAATCATTACGACCATTGAAAAAATGGTAAAACCGACTTTTATCACCTTTCATATAAAATGATTTTGCAATCATCTGTGTCACGTATGTTTTACCAGTTCCTGGGGGACCGTGAAAGCTCATAACCAAAGCTTTTGGAGGATCAAATCGGCTTAAATGTCCACGTAAAGCACTTATTATCACATGGTGAGCAATGTCTTGCCCATAAAGATTTGTAGTGAGAAGATCTTCTAATTCTAGAAATAAATATACAATCGTAACATATGTAATTACTAAACAAATGCGCTTTATAATATTTCATTTTCTAATTTTACATACTCACTGTCAATATCAGGAGAAACATATTCATCAGTACAACATTCCATAAATCTACATGGTACATAAGCTATGGAATCACTAATCTTGTCATATAAAAACGATATGCTACCCCTCAAAGAAACCTCACATTTTATGCAAATTATTAAAAAATTGATAAGAATATAAATAAGTAAGTGACCGGCAAAATTCATTTTCCGTTATTGTTTAATGTTCGTGAAAGGCACTTTATTCGATAAAACTCGAAAATGACTTGCAAACTTGTATTATAAATTATCAACAACTATTTGTTTTAATATGAAATTATAATTTATTTATTACTTTTTAATTATTTTCATACAAAAAAAAAACTGTATTC